CTTGTACTACTGCTGCATGCATACGGCTGTATTAATGTTTCAAACATACAAAAATGCATTAATGGAACAGTATTAAAGCATTCTTACAATATATGCCCTCCAGTACTGCTGGAGTCAATCGCCACTTTAGACCCGCTCCTGCACCGACTCCTAGGTAAGTAGCTACTCTATTAACCCGTGGTAGTGCAGAGTCGAACCAGTCGTAAGCAGAAGAGCGAAAAACTACGACAGAGGGCGCCCATAAACCACGCAAGTGACTACTTTAGTAACTGCCGGTAGTGCAGAGAGAGCCGATGGTGACTACCGCCTAGGACATTGCCTTGTAAAAGTAATCGATGAAATACACTGCAAGTAGTCGGTCGGTAATTGACGGTGTTTATTAGGTAGCTACCGATTCAGCAGTCCTGTAGTCACTCCCCCGTACTGCAGGGTTGTAAAAGCCCGTTTGTGCTGAAAATAGTATCGCACAACACGTCTGTTCACTCAAGTTTTTGTACAGGACTGAAAATATTAAATTTATCAAGAAATGTACTTAAAACAACGACAACGTACATTCGCTTGCAATTCGCTGGAATTTGAATTTATTCGTGGAAATTCATGACTACGCATGAATTGTTCACACTAATTCACTCATATAGCAAGCATTATTCACGAATGCATACAACCGATTTCTACTGGGTAGGTACACTAACACATGCTCACATGACACTTGTTTGTGGTAGTGCCCACCTCTGCTCATCTCTCACTTAACTACCGTTCTTATTTTGTATGTAAACAATAGTTTATTTATTTTGATACTCACAATGTCTTATTATTTATTTAGTCATTTTTCGCGGTCACGCTTTGATTTTTTATACTGCTGAAACTGCGAACTGCCCGTAATACTTTAGTGTGTCTTTTGATGGTTAAATATCTTTAGTTACAAGATAAATATGATTTTTTTTTATTGAGCGAATAAAACACGCCCGTACTCAACCCTGACAAATACAAAAAAAAAGTAATTGAGATTATAAACACCAAGAAATGCATGTTTGATCAAAGGACTTAATTTTTTCGAATTTTTTTTTTTTATAATTTTTTTATTTTGGTAACGTCATACGTTAAAAGTACCCATCTTTTCAGGATAATTTTCTTGTTTTATCGTGACTCACATATCGCACACCGTCTTCAAAAGAGTCACAACTCAAAATAATACTTCCGTCAGAAAATGCGAAAAACTATTTCGTAGCACATGTTAATCATATGGGCAAGGACGACTTTTGCCAAATTATAACAAAAATTTGCTCCAGCTTTTGCTGAAAGGTAAATAAAAGGTCTGCGTACATTTTTAGCGCATAATTTCAAAAATGCAAAATTTTGAGTTGTGACTCTTTTGAAGACGGTGTGCGATATATTACTGTAAATATGAGTGGTGGTTTATTGTTTTTGCTTATGTCAGAAATTTGATTTAAGTCGCACTAAAATTGAGTTCTGAACCATAGTCAGAGCTGGGTAAATGCAATTACATTACAATTACAATTACATTCCTCAGTAATTGTAATTAGGAATCAATTCCTCCAGTTTACAGCAAAGGAATCGATTACTTTTTCAATTACTTGAAGTAATTTCAAATGGAATTGTTTTTTTCTTTAATTCCATTACAAGGAATTTCATATTGTAATTGGAATAAATTACGTGCTAGTAATGTAATTTTTTTTTCAATTCCTTTGAAAGGAATTGAAAATGTAATTTTTTTTTCCAATTCCTTTGAAAGGAATTGAAAGTAGTTTTACTAATTGAACTTTAAGAAAACTGAATAACTTAAACTGTATCTGTTCAGTCAGTAACGGATAAATTTTCCAGATCATACCGCGAACGCGCTTCGCGGCAGATGAGACCCGTAAATGTCGAAGCACGCATAACCCGCCCGGACTGTTGCTACCTTGGGCACTGCTGTTCTCTTGGACTAATCCCTGCGTATCTATAAAAATGCACTGACTTAATTGTGTATATTATGGTACCCTTAATTCCACCCAAAATGGCGTGCCTTCTGGAGCCTTTGAAGTACTCTTACTGGTATCCTGCGTTACAAATGAGGATAGACTCCGCTTGAATTACGAACCCTGTCAGACTGGAGATCCTACCACCTAAGAGTTGTATAAACAAAGTGCATTGCTATGGCTAAATTTTGATGATAACACTGTAATGACGCTAAAATTACACAAAAAACGCCGAGACACGCAAAATTAATTTTGGGTAGTATGTTACAGACCTGTACACCGTTTTTTTTAGATAAGGTCATTTAGTCAAGTTATTTTCATTTTAAGTTTGCATTGCGAATGAAAAAAATTCAAACTTAAACATGATCAAACGGTCATGTACGATATGGCGTATGAGTAACATTATTTCCTGCTAGTATTTCATACAAAAAATTATTGCAGTTTCACTTAACTCTTGCAAACTTGTTTATATATCCATCGATTTTCATCGTTAATAGTGTTTTAAGCCGCAAAGCAAGCAGATATTGGCTAGTCTATACTAATATATATTTTGAAAGCCGTTTTTTTCTGTTCGCAAAGCTCGAGAAAGGCCGTACCGATTTTTTTGAAATTTAGGAATCTACTGCAGACTTTCCAAGGATGGTTATAGGCTAAAAAAAGTTTCGATATAGAAAAGGGGCGTGGCACCTACCATACAAACCGAATTTTTCAAACTGCATATATTTGTATTAGAGGACTAAAACTGGGTATGGGGATATATACATATATAAGATCAATTCCATACTCATGGGGAAAAATTGGCATGGCTTTTTTCATTGAAAATTCTGCTGAAGCACTAGAGGCATGAGACTAGAAAGGTATGACAAACAGTATTTTATTGCCGGAGATTGAAGACATGAACTTGGAAGATATTTGGTGTTAGCAGCCATGCCCTAATCCATATTTTTTTTTTTTAATTTTTATTTATTAATTAATTTTTTTTATACCTATTTTTTATTTTTTCTTCCTCTCTTGGTTTTATATAGATTTGTAAGTTTTGCCTAATGCTATTTGTCAGGCTTTGTTTGACATGATGTACTATGCACTTCTTATTCTCAACTCTTATTCTTGTCTTAATTTTAAGTTACCGTTGTACTAAAAAAGATCTTTGGGATCTTATTGTACTAATTTTCTTTATAATAATAAATGAAATGAAATGAAATGAAAGGGTCGTCATATCTGCACTGTTATTTGAAATTTCAAACATGAGATGTGAAATTAAAAAATTGGGCCAAATGATGTGTAGTAATGTTTTATTTTTTAAAGTCAGAAGTTTTTAGTGGTACAGAGTGATTTCAAATTTGATGAAATGAAGAACCTACGCCATGCCATACCCCTTTTCACTCAAGAATGGATGGACGGATTTAGATGAGACATCCGGGATATTTTTAAGGTTTTTAACCCTAGAAGCCTAGTCTATTTGGGAGTTACTTAAACCCTTAACATACGTCTTAGAGGCGTAGGTGACTTAAAGGATAACCTGTAAGCTAAAATATACCTCCAAATTAAAAAAAAAAATGTACATCGCGTGGTTATTGTTGTCAAAATAAAATTTTCGAAGAATTTTTATTTAATTTAGCGGTTTGACAATTTAGTTGTTAGCGTAATATCTGTCTTAAGTTTTTTCAAATAATGTCCAGTGAAGACGAGTTTGAGGCAAGTGATAGTGGATGTGCAGTTAACTTAACTGAAAATAGTGCAGCGTCCAGAAAGCGATCATCTGAAAATGAAGAAGAATCAGGAGATTTGTCCCCATAAAAATACGACAAAATCAAGTTTAGCTCCATTTTCGATGGAACATATTTTGAGCTCGATTCCACTGTAAGAAAATTCATATATTTAAATGCGTGAATATTATTTTTTAAATTCAATTAATTAAACAGCCATCGTCGTCATCACAATCGTCAGAAACTAGTAGCCAAATTGTTGCTCGCTGTTTGCTATGCAAAACAACAGCAACGCACATCAAGGGAACACGCGGTGTTTCCTCAAATTTCCTCAAACACTTAAAGCGTTTGCATCCAGAGGATCACAAAAAATATTTCGAAGAAAAAGAGTCACAATTTTTACAAACTAAATCAATAACCAAAAAGCAAAAGTTTGTTGGTACTCTTTTAAATTTTATTGTTGATGCAGCGCTACCACTAACTGTTGTAGAAAATAAATTTTTTAAACAACTGTTTGAAAATTGTGCTGTCACACTTCCAACGAGAAAAACTATTACTGGATTAATGGAAAAAAAATTTGATTTACTGCAAAATATAATAGTTCAAGAGTTGAAGAAGGTACCATATGTTTGTACCACCGCAGATGTGTGGTCCTGCAAAACACGAAGTTTCTTTGGATACACGTGTCACTGGCTTGTAAGCGATTTAGTGGTTCGCATACTTACGATCAGATTGCTGAATTTATGTGCAGCATAAATACCGTGTTTGACATAGATGATAAGCTAATTGCCACTATTACCGACAACGGATCAAATTTTTGCAAAGCTTTTCGAGAGTTTGGTGTGGCAATGGATGATTTCGATTTAGACATATCCTTCGAGAGGCTGGACGAAGGACCTCAACGAATACGAAAACTCCCAAAGCACATTAGGTGTGCTAGTCATACCTTAAATTTAATTTCAAGTAATGACTTCATTAAGAATTTGAAAAATGACACTACTTTGTTCCAGAGACATACTCAAGTAAGATATACTATTTTAAATTACTTAAAGTACTAGTAGTATTCGACAGCATATTATCAACAATTATATTCGAAGCGTCGATGAATTGTAGATACATATTTATATATATCCTTGGCTCATTTAATTGCAATAATATTCATTATATTTTTTTAATGTGGAACTTTTTTTTGTTGCTCAACAGGTGTTCGCTAAATGTAATAACTTGTGGATGAAAGCGGGAAGACCAAAATCTTCAGAAATAATGCGAGAGGAGTTAGGTATTTTGCTTAGTTACCCAGTTGTCACCAGATGGAATTCTACTTATGACTCCGTGCAGAAAATTATATCTAGAGAGGAAAAGCTTTCTGTCATATGTACAAAATTGGAACTTCCAGCATTTACCGAAGAGGACATGCTTTATCTTAAGGATTATGCTTCTGCTATGAAACCTTTCGCTGACGCACTCGATTTTTTGCAAGGAGAAAAAGGAGTTTTTTATGGGACGCTTATTCCGACTTTGGTAACGATCAAAACCAAAATTGATCGTATTATTAATAATGGCAAGGAAAACTACCTGAAGCAACAGCTAATTTTTTTGCAAAGTCGATTGTTTGATAGGTTTGAGAAATATTTTACCTTATCTTCGGAAATCAATGACGCAATTGTGGCAGCCGTACTTCATCCTGAAGTAAAACTTCAGTGGTTTGCTCCAATTAGAGATTTGACTAGGAAATCTGTAGATGAAGTTAAAAAACTTGTAATTGACTACGTTGCAGACAACCATGTAGTTGACTGTGATGCTGCCGAAGACCTGATTCTGTCAAGAATAGGCTCTTTCTACGACTTTGGCGACGAACAAAATAGTTTTGGTAGCAAAAAATAAATTATGTATACATGCTTCTTATTTCAGTATATTGTATCTTTTTCAGAGCAAACTACGGATGTTTTATCCATTGACCGAGAGGTAAACTTGTACCTTGCCGATCCTTTCTTTAATGACTTAAAGAAATTGAAGGAATTGCCGCTGCTAGAAAAAGCATTTAGAAAGGCGAATACACCGTTGACCTCCTCGGCGCCGGTTGAGAGATTATTTTCATTTGCAGGCATTGTAAATACACCACGGCGCCATGCTCTCTCCGACGACCACTTCGAAATGTTGACTTTAATGAAAGCCAACGCACATTTCTTGAAGTGAAATATCTTTATTTGTTGTTTATTGTTCATTTCACAATTAAAAAATAATAATATTTCTTTGCATTTATTTGTGTTTGATTTGTTTTGCCAGGAAATAAGGTTCAATACTTTTAGGAAAAAACAAGCTGTACCCAGCAATGCTTTGCTGTGGCACATTCCTTTTACATGGATGAGAAATAAGGAACGAAACAAAGAATACGTTTCATATACATAAGTTTAAAATATTCCGCAAAATTGATTTCCACACCTATTTTCAATTTTAATATATATGGGGACATCCGTGGTCGATCAAGCGAGTTAAAAATTCCGTTGGATAATTAACTGCTTGGTCTATTTCATATACTTTATCAATTTAACTGAGTTAAAATTTTGAAATAGGTGGCAACCCTCCTCAAAAATATTACCAACGATTATCTTTCTGAAACTTATTTAATTTGATACCCACATTGCAATATTGCATTTATTTTATCAATTTAACAGAGTTAAACTTTTAAATAGGTTGAAACGCTCTTCAAGAATGTCTCCAACAGTCATATTTCTTAAACCTCTTTAAATTGATACCGATATAATAAGTTTTCTTATATCAATTAACTTAAGTTAAATTTTCAAACAGATGACAACCCTCCTCAAAAATATTTCCTACAGTCATCTTTCTTAAACCTCTTTAATTTTATACTTATGTATATTGTAATATATCGTTTATTTTATCAATTAAATTGAGTCAGATTTTCAAACAGGTGGTAACCCTCCTCAAACATATTTTCGATTGTAAGCCTTCTTAAAAAAGTAAAGTTTGATACCCATATTGCAATATTTCATTTATTTATCAATCTAACTGAACTAAAATTTTCAACTAGGTGGCAATCCTCCTCAAAAATATTTCCAGCAGTCATGTTTTTTAAACCTCTTTAATTTGATTCCTGTATTGTAATAAGTCATTTATTTTATCAATTAAATTTAGTTAAATTTTCAAACAGGTAACAACCCTCCTCAAAAATATTTTCGGCTGTAAGCTTTCGTAAAACTTTAAAGTTTAATACCCACATTGCAATATTTCATTTATTTTATCAATTTGACTGAGTTAAAATTTTCAAATAGGTGGCAACACCCCTCAAAAATATTTCCAGCAGTTATCTTTCTTAACCGTCTTTAATTTGATACCAATATTGTAATATTTAATTTATTTTATCAGTGTAATTTAGTTAAACTTTGAAACAGGTGGCAACCTTAATCATACATATTTTCGGCTGTAAGCCTTCTTAAAACTCTTTAATTTGATACCCACATTGCAATATTTCATTTACTTAATCAACTTAACTGAGTTAAAATTTTAAATTAGGTGGCAATCCTCCCCAAAAATATTTCGATCAGTCATCTTTCTTAAACCTCTTTAATTTGATACCCATACTGTAATAATTCATTTATTTTATCAATATAATTGGGTTTAAAAATTTTCAAATATGTGGCAACCCTCAAATTTTTTGCGATATCATTGGTTCTGTATAAAACAAAAAAAAAAATATTCAAATCGGTTCAGCCGTTCTCGAGTTTTGACGACCGTGACATACGAACACAACATTTTTATATATATAGATATAGAAGATATACATACATAGAAGATGTCCAATGTGTGCTTTCGATTTTAATCTTTGACCACAACAAAAATTCCACATTTTACATTCGTGAATGAACTTTCAATTTCTCGATTACTTTTACAATTCCTTTGAGTAATTGAAAAAACTAAAGTACTCTTGCAATTCCAGGTAATGGAATTGAAAAAAAAATCAATTACATTTTCAATTCCTTTCAAAGGAATTGGAAAAAAAATACATTACTAGCACGTAATTTATTCCAATTACAATATGAAATTCCTTGTAATGGAGTTAAAAAAAAAAAAACAATTACATTTGAAATTACTTCAAGGAATTGAGAAAGTAATTGATTCCTTTGCAGTGGACTGAAGGAATTGATTCCTAATTACAATTCCTTGTAATTTGTAATTGGGAGTAATTTAATTCCTAAAGGAATCATTACGACCCAGCTCTGACCATAGTGCGTCAGAGAGAAAAATTTAAAACGCAGTTATACTATATTTGGCTCCTAGTTTTGTGAATATAAATATTAATTTTTTCGTGTGTTTTAAAATTTTTGGTTTTTCTCGCACGGTGTTATATGCTATTAGCAAACTACTAGCTAGGCGGTGCTGGAGTAGAGTTATTTATACAAGTCGTATTTATTAACCGATTTCGTTAAAATTTTTTTGACCCGCTGAGTGACACTGGAGTTGAGGTTAAAATTCATAATACGTATTCATTTTAAGGTAAGCAATGGTTTTGCAGAAAATAGACCCAATGGATGGCGCTGCAGCCGAAATGTATAGAAATCCCATGTGGTTGGTCTGCTTTGGCCCTGTGTTTAAGTTATACGAATTTAGTTTCAGATTGCTAAATGAAGGATGGGGTTAAGTATGCATTGAAAAACCGCAAAATTGTGTAAGCGCACCTTTGTCTGACGCCATTATGCACCCTAAATGCGATCTTTCTACCTAGAAATCAGTTCATAAATTTAACAAGAATTGTAAAAGTAGCAAACTAACAAGGAAAGATCATCGTAGGCATATCAATTGCTTCATTTGAATGATATTCAAGAGGTCACACGACTCATTTAGCTAATGTACGGGAAAACTTTTCATCCTGTGGGACAGGGGATTCTTGGCCCTCCTACAACAGAAAACGCACATCTGGGCTCTCGAGTTTCCTCTTAAGGGCTTTTATTGGTTTACACATCGGACCAATGATGTAGTTGCAAGATCACAGAAAAATATTACGCATGCTTGGCAGAGATCTCACAGGTGGAAATAAGACCACCGGTAAAGTTCATGACATCAAAAGGGATAAGTATTCCATATCGATAGCTGAGTGGAAGATCGACCTATCTCGGCAGCCAGTTCGAAAACACCCTATCTCAGAAAATTTTTCAACGACGCCCTACTTCAGAATCTTATTGAATATCACCCTATCTCAGAATTTGGTTCAAAACGCCGTATTTCAGCTGCCGATTCAAAAATGCACTATCTCAGTACATTTTCAATGTATTTTCGTTTAAGATAGGGCGTTTTTGAACCGAATTTTGATATAGAGCGTTCTTCAACCAAAATCTGGTGTTTTTGAACTGACTGCCGAGATAGGTTGATCTTCCACTCAACCATAGATATGGCATCACACCGTTACTATTCTTGGAGTGGAGGATACTGCGCTTTAGTGGTCTCAACTTAAACTAAAAATTTTGACTTTAAAGACTATTTTTGCTTTTAAACGCTCTTTTGCATTGGCCAACGCAAAAGTTCTTATAAGGAGCCGCGAAGCAAGCGGGCATTGGCTAGTATAATAATAATATAGTTCATTCTCTAACAAAAACCTTGTAAATCTAAGTTTCAAACTTTGTGCAGTATATAAAAAGCATACAAGTAATATATAATAATAATATAGTTCATTCTGTAACAAAAACCTTGTAAATCTAAGTTTCAAACTTTGCGCAGTATATAAAAAACAAATAAGTAATTTTTAAGCAAAAAACAAAACCGACTTAATTCTCATATAAAAATGTAAGATTATCTTAATTTCTTCATGATCCAATGATCAGATTTAAACAAATTAGTACGGGACCATCAGCGTAACATCTTTCCTTAAAAAAAACGAATTTAGAAATCGGTTAACGTGGTCCAAAATTATGCGGTAACATACTATGTTTATTAAGGGACAAAAAAATGTACGGTAATTCTTAGCCACCGCACAATTCAATGGGCTACAAAACTGCGACGTCGACTACGTGCACCTCTGCTGTTCATCCCTAATTAAGGGGAACATTCAGAAATTTCGAGCTTAAGCGAAGATCGCACGATTTGTACATTTGTACAGATTTGTACATTTTAGCAGTCAGAGAGTGGTGTTCTTTAGAAATTTGAGTTAAGCTCAAAAAAAGAATTTCCGAACAACATCACTCTGTACCTGCCAAAATGTTCAAATCTGTACATAAGTACAAGTAGTGGGATCCCTGATTTACTCGTAGCTTCCAGTATAAAAAATTTTAACATAATCATTAATAAAATAATAGTTAAAAAAACTAAAACCTCGCTATTAAAATTTCCATTCTTACTGTCATCAGGTTACTTTAAGGATGGAAGTTTAAATCAAATCCCATTCGTTCTGTCATCAGGTATGTAACTTGAGAATGGAAATCTCTGCATCTTTTAGGCGCATCAATATTACATAGTTACATCCCGAGCTAATAAAAGCGAGGTAAAAGGGACCAGACTCCCGTTAGAATTTCTACAAAGTTAGGCCTTGGAAATTCAGGCCCAGCGAACTTGCGCCAGTATGCATTGTTATTCTATTTATAAGAAGGGTAAGGGAAGACTAATTAAATACAGTGAAATACATACATATGTACAGTGGCTCACAGCTTATTTCAACCAACGGGAATTTAGAACTTTAAGTGATTGTAGCTTTTAAACTAAACCGAATATCAAACAAATTTCAATGCAAACTAGTATATTAATATTGCTACAATACCAAATTAAGTGCATCTATTTTCAAAGATGCATTTTCAACAATTTTTAATAAAAAAACTAAAAATAGTGCAAACTATAATTTCACAGCTTATTTCAACCAGCTAATCGAGTATGAATACATATATATATAGCATTAGTTTAAGTTTTGAGGTTTTAGTAGTTTTTATGTCCTCCTATCTAATCTATTACCGATTTCATTTTTTTTGGAATCGACTGGACTAATTCTCGTGTTATCTCGGGACTAATTTTTGCCCATTCTTCGGATAAAGCATTTTTCAGATCGTTTTTGCTTGAAATTTCATGTCTGCGAATATTTTGATCTAACATCGCCCATAAATTTTCGATCACGTTCAGATCAGGATCAGATTCCATATAAGACACGATTGACCAATGCCCGACTTATGTTTCGGGTCATTGTCTTGATAATACCGAAAATTTGAACGAATGCCGAGATTTTCCGCACTTTGTAGTAGATTCGCTTTCAAAATATTAAGATACATTGTTTTGTCCATCGTATCTTCTATAAATGTCAAGCTACCAACACCTGCTGCCGACATACAAGCCCAAACTATGACTTGTCCACCTCCGTGTTTTGCTGTCGCCTTCAAATTTTTATTCTGCAGCTCAGCATTTGGCTTGCGTCATACATACGACGGGCCGTCAGAGCCAAAAATGTTAAATTTTGACTCATCAGCAAATAACACTTGGTCCCAAGAACTGGAGTCCTTGTGAACATGCTCTTTTGCAAACCGAAGGCGGCTTTGTTGATTTTTTTGGCTGATGAAGGGCTTTTTGCGTGCTACTCTACCATTAAATCCGTATTTGCGCAGAACTCTACGAACCGTTCCGCACTGCTTGACTTTCCCAGCTCATTGCTTATGTCAGTTGCCAGTTTGGGGGCCGTTTGCTTTGGGTTTCCCCTTATCTTACGCAAAATATAACGCTCATCAGAACCATTGAAAATTTTGTTTGGCATGATTCTGTCTTTGTTATGGACTCTGTTTTCGTGCATAAAGCGTGATATAATGCATTGTACCGTTGAGTCACTTAAATTTACCATTGCAGCAATTTTCCGGTGCGATTGTCCATTTTTAAAGTGGCTGAGGACTAACTCTCGCTGCTCAATGGTGGTGCGTCGTCCCATCTTCGAAAAAATTGTTTATAATCAAGTTCGATGTTAAACAAATTTTTAATATGTTATAGCTTCGCACGAAAATGGTGGGAAATTTAAAAAAAAAAATAGAATTTTACATGAAGAACGATGGCTTCTGCGACCAAATATGCCTGGTTGAAATAAGCTGTGATATTGTAGCTAGCACTATTTTTGGTTTTTATATTACAAAATTGTTTAACACACATCTTTAAAAATAAATACAATTAGTTTGGTATAGTAGTATCATTGGTCTATTGGTTTGCATTTACATTTTTTTAATATTCGGTCTAGTTTGAAATTTATAATTACTTGAACTTCTAAGCTCACGCTGCTTGAAATAAGCTGTGGGCCACAGTACCTAAGCATTTCTTTAATTGAGCTATGGTATTTTCATAGACTGCATCGGCTGGAATTAAAAAGTATTGAGTTTTCCTTTACATGTGACTAGAATCTAAGTAATTGTGAAACATATGAAACCATCGATATATCGATGTTTTTTGGCATCGATTTTTATTTCTCCGTTGCATCGAAACATCGATGAATCGATATTACTAGTCAAAATATGCATTGCTAGGAATGCTGCTGCTGGTATTTCTACTGGTATGTGCAGATGCATAGCTGGATAATTTAGATTTCGTAGGACATCGCCATGTTAAAAATACCACTTGCTGGCATGGAAAAATTCTGGAAGTCGAACTAGGGCTCTACCTGCGGGGCTCTCCCCGCAAGTTCGAAAACGTGAGTGTATTAGTAGAAAATTGTGAATTTGCACATGCGGCAACGCCCAGTAAGATTAATATTAGTCTCAGCAATGACAGTTAAGTCAGAGAGCGATACTTATATTAGCAACTTATTTTAGTGAAAATGGCAGATAAAGGGTATTGAATGTATGCCCTAAAAATGATAATTCATTTATTTTGTGGACCTTTCATACATGTAAGAAGGAAATGTATATAAGAGGCATATACGGGTATTCGTGGAATTTTCGATTTTCGTATATGCAATAAGTGCTGTATATTCATATAAATAGTATGTACCTTGTCCCATTTCTATTCCTCCGTGTGATATAACCACAGTACCGTCGACGTGATATACAGATACAGTGGCTGGATATTGACCAAAAAGAAAAACTGGGTATTCCATTATGGATAATCCTAGTCCGCGTTTTATCCAACGATTATTGTTATTGAAATTATCGATCTCCTTTCGTCGCTCCCGATATTCAGTTGACTTAATAAATCGTGGCAATAACTCTCCCATTTTATTTCCGGGTTTCAAATTGGCTAATCGTGCATCAGCTGGATCAATGTTGGCTTCAAACGCAATATGTTCCAAAATATTTTCGATCATGGCAATGCCTTCTACAGAGCCTGGAGCACGACACCACGTGGAACTTGGTGCATCCGTTAAAACAGCCTCGCCAACAACTTTAGTATTCATATCAGTGAGCTCGTAGCAATTTTTAGCACAGCCAACCGAATGCCCCTTAATAGGGTTCTCATTGAGTGTACATCCGGCATCCTGATAGAATATATTCTTAAGTCCTACAATTTTACCATTGGCCTTAATATGGAATTCGTAGTCTGAACGGCAACCCCAACGTTTTCCGTTCGAGTTCATCATCGACTCGATGGTCTGCACAAAACGGGCTGGACAATTTAGTTTATATGCAGCTAATGAAGCAGCGCATGCAACCTGATTACCTCGTGAAATTTTACTACCATACCCGCCTCCGAGGCGTCGAACCTTGAGTTGCACATCGTTTGCCTTAACTTGCAACATTTTCGAGATTACACATTGAGTATGATCCATCCACTGAGTTGATGTCCAAACCTGCAGGCCTTCTTCAAACGGCACAGCTATGGTAGTTTGGGGTTCCATTGTAAAATGATACTGCCCACCAATTTCAAAAATACCCTTGTCAGTAATGTCCGGTGCTTCAGACATCTGTATCTCATCCAGTTCCGAAGGTTTTATCATGTGAATACGACTGAATTCTTTTGCTTCAAACACATCCGCAGTGGTGGGTAAAATATTTCGAGTGCTGTTGGAATATGTTACTTTCACCTTACTCGCAGCCCGATTTGCAATATCACTTGTGACAGCTACAACCATACCCAAAGGTTGGTCGTAATATTTGACAATCCCACCGCAAAATATCTCTTCGGTGTCATAACCAAATGTTGGGTCGCAGGACAAATTCTTCCCAGGAATGTCCTTGGCTGAATAAAAAGCGATCACACCTGGAGTTTGCAAAACCTCGGAGGCATCAATCTCTTCAATAGTTGCTCCCACCTTTGTTGCGTTAGCAAACGCGCAATAAACTGAATTCGACGAGGTAAGTGTGTCATTCATATAGGTGGCTTCCCCTGAACACTGAATTATAGCTAGATATGAATATAATCGTTTGTTACTAGTTCGTTTGTAAAAATATGCATATTGCTACCTAAAGATAAAAAGGTGCCAAGTCCTTTTTTGTTTCAAAATTTAGTTTTTAATGCATAATGACAGATAATTCCAAACTATATCGATTTTTCGTCTCTCGTGAATAATTAAAAAAAATGGACTTGGCACCTTTTCACCTTTAGCTAACGATACGTACATATGTAAATAATATTTTTTTATTTTCTAATACTTTTTACCTTCGACTTTTTCCACTGCTTGTGTAACCGGATAATTTTTTTCATTTGTTTCGAATGTTTGCATTCCGGAGGAGAGGGGTCGCTGAAGTATATTGCCACCACTGATATATTGTTCCTTCACCTTGTCTGCTGGCACTATCTTCAGCAAACTCTTGTAAAGTAGTCCTGCAGCAAGAGTTCTGCGGTAGTCGGGGGAGGCGTCCGGAAGAACGGCATCGGGTGTAAGTTGGACTTTCAGGTTTTTGAAAACATTTAACACGGTAACGTTTTCATATAAATTCTGACCAGTTAAGCCAAGCTCTATAGCCGTAGCGTGAACGAAATCGGGATGTATTCCTCCAAAACAAATACTTGCGCGATTAACTTTCCCCGAAGATACATCCATGTCTAATAAAAAGGCAGCATTCACATAGGCATGGGCATTTTGAGCTCGAGGCATTACCTAAAATTTATTTAAGAAGTTAATATATGCTTTTAATGTCTCATTTTCAATAACATTCTTACTTTATACGAATGAAAGATAAACTTATCCTTTGGATAGGGTTTAAATTCAAAAGCAATGATGGCAATTTTATTGTTCGAAAGTCCCAGATATTCCTTAATGGGTATTGTCTTACGTGTCGATGCATCTTCTGTGATAATAACCTGGACATCGAGGGCTTCGAATGTTATGAAAATATCCGAGGGGAACTCTGGGTGAAATTTTTTTATACTAATATTGCCGGCCAGTGTTCCAGTCTGAAAATTATAAATATTCATGTAAGTACATTACAGTGGTCCAAAAATGCTTGTGAGAAAGTAAAGTCGGAATTTAAATGCCGCACCCCCTAGGATTGTTCTATACCGAAAAAACTATACCCCTATTTTTTATTTTGAAATAAAAAAAATTAGGGAGTGCTCAAAGCGCTCAAAGTTTTCCATGTATTTTATATGGGGAAAAACAACTTTTCGTAGAAATTGTAAAGAATTCTTGAAAATCAATATTTTTGATGTATGCGTTGTGTTTCTCTTACCTTTCTGTGATGAACAGGATGGAAAAACCCAACAACAAGAAAAACACTTCCTCTTCCGTTAAATGTTGTTGTGAATGACTTAAACGAGGTTTCAGAAATAAGAAATACTACTTCTACCCTAAAAGATGTGATAAACTGTTTTCGCGAATAACCGACACGCAAGAATTATGCTCCTTTTCCTTTTCCACAAGAAAGTATGCGTATCAATTGTGTGCTGCTGTTCATCATTGTTTTAATGACAATTGCTAAATATTCAACGTTGCTGGAACCTACAGAAAACATTCTGCAAATGAACTAGACCTCATCGCCTGTGGCGTAACTATACCCTCTGAGGCCCGTGACAAATTCTTTGGAGGGGGCCCTCCCAGTAAAAATCGTCACGTTGTAATTTAATTTTAACCCTAGAGTACTAACCATACTTTACATTCGTTAGTACTAATGATCGTCGATTAGACGATGTCTTGTTAAAACCCTGTTGTTTAAAAAACAAAAGGAAACTAAATGTCATACATATTATTACACTTATAAATTTGATGTTTGACCTTAATAATAAAACAACTTTTAGGTTCATAAAACTCAAAAATATTGTTTATTCAGTATATTTCTCACACGCTTCTATTTTAGCTATTTTATATAAGCGTATCAAAAAGGACTAAATTTTCCACTGGACTTCACAAACAAGATCAATATAAGGCAAAAATTAACAAATTATATTCATAGTAATATAAAAAACAGCAAAACTTTAGTTAGAAATTAATTTTGCACATGATACACAAGTCTCAACTTTGTTTCGGCGAGCAGTTACAAAAAAAAACACTCTATGTATGCAGCTCTCAAGAAAAGCAAAAACTTCATATAAAATGACGTACAAGAAATGGCTAAGAAATTTTTTTGAGTCAAATTTCCGTAAGGCAGTACGCAGTTCTTAAGGAATTTGCTACGCTTTCTACTACGGGTTTCTAAAGTTTTTTGTGAAAAAAGAGCACAAGGCAACCCAGGTTTGGAACAGAAATATATGCCCGTTCCATTATTTCTTGAGGAAAGAGTGAGGCAACAGGCTGTGAAGTATCAAAAATGTCAAAATTCCTTGGACACACACACGAAATAATGGTAATTTTTTATTGACCGTTTTCTTGAGAGCTGCATACAGGGCATAAGGCAGTACGCAGTTCTTAAGAAATTTGCTACGCTTTCTACTACGGTTTTCTAAAATTTTTTGTTAAAAAAGAGCACAAGGCAACCCATGTTTACAACAGAAATATATGCCCGTTCCATTATTTCTTGAGGAAAGAGTGAGGCAACAG